GATGCCCGGGCGGCGGCAGCTCCACCTCTCCCCGCGGCCACCGCCGCTCCGCCCCGCTCCGCGGACGCGCAAAAAAAAAACCAAACCCCTCTCCTCTTTACCTCCCGACAGGGCAAAAAAAAAACAAAACAACAACCCAAACCAACCCCAAAACCCAAACGGCTGTTTTGGGAGAGGGCAGCAGAAGCTCTGGGGATGCTCCCCAGGGAAAACTTTCAGGTGTATTTTTATATTTCTATTCGTATTCTTTTCTATTTTAATTCCATTTTGAAGCCATACATTCATTATTCAGTTTTTATATTTATGCTAATATCATCACTGTGTTACTTTAATTACTTTATCGGGTGTTATATTCTCATAACACACTCATTTTCCTTCCCAGCATCATCATTTCCTAGAGGCCAAGTGACCTTTCCACCTGAAATTAGGCTGTGAACTGCAGCCCCAGCAATAACTCCAATCCCAGCAGCAAGAGTTTGCACCACAGAGGGGACATCCAAGAGCCACCCAAAGAAAGTCACTTTGGAGATATTGAAGCCGCAGGGAGGGGTTATTTGCCCCTGGGGGGGGGAGGGGGGGGGCTGGTTTGGCAGGATATTGGGGTGTTGAACTGTGGAAATACATCATAAAGCTCAATACATATAATTTTGGATACCCTTTTTAAAAATCATTATTATCTAGGGCATTTTTCTCCTCTAAAAGCAAAGGCTGGTATTTTTGTAACATCTAGAAAGAACATATTTTTGGCTATTTCCTTACATGGGCCCAAGAATGATGGTGTAAGAAAATGCACCATCCTTCCTTCTCCTACGCAGGCAAAAATATTCACAGGCCAAAAAAAACCCCAACAAAACAAAAACAACACACACAAAAAAACCACCCAAACAACTAGTATGGAAAAGAGCCAGAGATATGGAATGTGGGAATGAAGAGGATGAGAGCAGAGAGTGTCAGCTGGCAATGGTGGGGATTTGAGACATACACAACCTGGCCATGGTCCCTTGGATCATGCATCAAATCCATCCTTGGGAAAAGGCAGCAGTTTGGTGTTGTTTTTTTTCCAAAATCCTGGCCTTTTTCTCATGGAGGGCAATGAAAATTCAGTTCCAGGCTAAAATAGGAGTTAGAAGATGGAAGAAAATTCATGTGGTGTTGCAGATGAGAGGAGTTTGGGCATCCCCCTTCCTACAGCAGCTCAGCTGTCCTCCACTTCAAAAATCACCACCCCCACAATATCAAAACGAGCCCATAAGCCAAACCCTGCCTGAATTAAAATCACAGTCACTTCAAATTAGATCCACCTAGTAATTCTTGGCTTAAAAACTCCTAAGGAACTGGAGCGGAAAACTTCAACTCCTAAATAAATGGCCTGGTTTTCAAAGGCACGAGCACCCAGCTGCTCCAAGAGAGGTCAGCTGGAAGAGCCATCATTACTATTTATAAGGCACTTTTCACCACAGGGAGAGGGTTGTGGGCAGGACAGCAGTAGGTGCAGAGAAAGGGTTCATTTTCCCCTCTGGAGTCGTGTCGTGCAGAATCCCAGCTCCCTGGAAATAGAGCCTGGACTGGTCAATGAACTGAGCCCACAGGGTGCTGAGCTCAGCAACTTGTTGAGAAATCAAGTCACTCCCTGGGGCCAAATGCTGTTAGTAGGACGTGTTGGTTTGCTGAGAGCCACCGTGGGCATGGGGTGCCATGGGACAGCCAGAGATGCCCTTCTGCACCCTCTGCTTCGCCAGGTGAGGGAAGATACAGAGGGAGGAATAAACCAGACAGTACTTGCCAGAGGTGCTGCCTGCTTCCATGTGAGTATCAGGAAGAACTTCTTTCCTGTGAGAGTGACAGAGCCCTGGAACAGGCTGCCCAGAGAGGTCGTGGATTCGCCTTGGCTGGAGACATTCAAAACCTGCCTGGACACGTTCCTGTGTGATGTGCTCTGGGTGACCCTGCTCTGGCAGGGGGCTTGGACTAGATGACCTTTGAGGTCCCTTCCAACCCCTAGGATTCTGTGACCTACCCCATGGCAGGCACCTGCAGGGCTTTAATAAATGCAAAGGGTCATGGGTATAAATGTAATGCCAGGGTTCAAAATCTGAATGTCCTGGTGATAGGAAGGGGAAAAAAAATCACCTCAAGCATCTCTGGACAGGCCAACCTCTATCCCTGAACAGTGAGAGAGGAGAGGGCAGCTCAAAAGAGAGAAGTCTGGCAGAAAAGGGTGGAAAACCTAATTTCTGCAAGAACAGGACACCCATCTCTTATGGGGTTTACAGGCTGTGAACTTCTCCAAAACACCAAAGCCAAAATCCGCCAATTCCCCTTTTTGTTCCTCTGCTGCTCAACCACCAAACTGAGCTAACAACCTGCCCTGAGCACTGGAATTAGGCTTTGAATACACTTAAAAAAAAATCACAATTGTGGACTAAATTCCCTGTCCCTTTTGGATGAACCTCCCAAGGGGCCACCAGACAGCCTGGCACCCTTCAGCCAGCATCAAAATGCAGGCAATGGCAGCAATTGCTCCAGTGAGTCCCAGCTCTGACTGATCTATGATTCATTCTCCTTTTTTTTTTTTTTCTTCTCCTTTTTTTTTTTTTTCCCCTTTAAAGGAAAATTGGAAATGAAGTATAAGTAAGTCACGTTCATGCCTACGTTCAGTGCAACACGGACCATCCATCTCCTTCAGATGGAGGGGACAAGGTGCAGCGATGCCTGCTGGGCTGTGATGTGATTTGTGCAGTTCAACCCTGCACCCAGCAGCTCTTCTCATGGTTCAAATTCGGAGGTGGTGGCTGGGAGCTGTGCAAACATCACAGGAAAGATGCAGCCATAGGTGTGCTTGGTTAACAGCAGGGCAGCTTGGGCAGCAACAATTTCCAGCACAGCCTCAGTTTACCAGCCTGGGACATGGGCACAGATAATTCTCCCTACCCTTGCAGGGAGGTTGCAAAAGTCAGGCAGGAGCCTGACTTGTTAGTGCATTAACAAACACCCTCTTGCAACAGAGAAAATTACTCCTCTGGGCTGACTGGGAGGTATTTATACAATTGTTTCAAACAAACAATCAAACAATCAAATGCTGAACTTTGCGCTTCTAAAAATAAAAATCAGTGGGATTCTGGAGAAGGGAGGAAAAAAAAAAATAAATATATATATATTCTACAATGTATTTGGGGAATCACGGGCTTTCAAAAATATCAGGGAGGAAACCAATTTGCTGCCCCTTCCTCTCACCCGCTGATTGCTGAGCTGCTTTCACTGCTAATGGCTCCTTCTTCGCAGGGACTCAAAGTTTGCAGAAGTTGCTCAGGGGAGGGTTTTGCTGATAAAAGCTGTTTGGGTTTGGAGAGGCAGCTGGAATTCTCGGTCTTTTGTGTCTGCAGGTCCCCTCCTTTTCTTCTCGCAGTCATAAATGAGGAGTGAAATGCCGAGTGTACCTCTCTAATAGGGGTGTCCCCACTCCTCCTTCTCACCTCACCCCCTTCCTCATCCTGCCCAAGCCCTGCTGCTGGGTGGGGAAACCACAATGAGCTCCTGCATCAGTCCCTATTGCACATGTTTCTGCCGTGGAAATGAGATTTTTCTCTCTTCTCTTCACAAGATATTTTGTCCTTCCTCATTTAGTGCCTTATCACACACACACCCCACCCCCGACCTTGCAGTCACACGCTCCCTTTCCTCCTCGACGGCATCAAACCTGCAACACCAACCCTGCTGGTGGCCAAAGAGGAACAGAAATTGGGCAAAGTCGTCTATTCACGATATCATTTCATTATTTCAAGGCAGGGTTTCCTGTGGTGCTGGCGGGAGGCTGCTGGGTGCAGGACTTGCAGTCCCCTGCCCTGAAACCAGAGGTGGGCTCCCGATGGACACCTCTCAGGAGGGCTGAACCTTCGGGGATGCAGGATCAGGACAAGGCAGGAATATTGTGTCCCTGCGGCTGCCCTGAGCAGTCCCTCCCTTCACCCAGCGATGCAAACACCCGTTCCCCCTGCTGGGGACGAGCCGTCCAGTTTTGGAGACTCCTGCGCTCTGTAACTGGACCTGACGTGCTTATGAAACGTCTTCCTTCCCCAGTCTTAAGAAACAACAGCTGAGCACTGAAATGCCAGCAGGGCAAGGGCTCAGGGCTGCCACACGCTTGTCTTCGGGTGCAGCTTTTCTTAAAAAGGAAAAATAAATAAATAGCTGCAAGCAGAGAAGGGGAAAATTCAAATGGGTTCATTCCGCAACCTTGAGGAACAGGTGCTGAGCCCCAGAGGAGGAAATCCCCATGGAGGCACAGGGCACTGTTTATTCCCACTGTATCAGCCCCGGTCAAACACGGCAGCTGATCTTGCCTTTCCTGGCAGCCCAGAGGCAGGAAAAGCCAAGGAGGGGTTACAGAAACTCCCGGGGCCACTTCTCCAAACACCCAAGCAGCAAAAATCAGCTCTTGTCCACGTGAGCTCACTTGCAACAATGGATACTCCCCATTTCACTGTCCACTGACCATAAAGAAACCACTTATATTTTTCTTAAAGTGCTTTTTCAGCCATATTCAAGCAGCAGCCTCTGCAAGGAGGTGGTTGCAAGGAGCTGGTTGCTCTTGCTCAGCCCTCTGCTCTGAGATCCCCTACGTGCTGTCACTGCCACTTGGTGAAACTATTTCAGGGACAGTAAATCCTGGCTGAAGTCAAGCCTCTGTTGTGCTATACCTTCAGCCTTGCTAAAAGCAATTTATTTGCATTAATTCCTATTCATTCAGGAGCCCTTCAAGCAGGAGAACAAAGGTTCAAACCTAGTTTATTTTGAGCTGGCAGATTTGTGCCCTAACTAGAGGAGTGTGGTTAGAATCAGGTGAGTTAAAGGTAGATGGGAAAGGAAATGGAAAAGTTGCAAATGCATTGCTTGGCTGTGATGATTATGGGGAAGAAGGGAGGATAAGAGCCTGGATTTAACTTTGATTACCTAAGTTACAAGCAACATCACCCAAAGGTCCCTCTGTTGTCCCCAGAGAGAGGTGGGTGCCCCTGACTGTGCTCAGGTCTTGGAGGGCCCCTGGGAAGACTCAGTAAAGCTCAAGGCCAGAGATGGAGAGATGCAAGATTCTGTACCTAGTAGTGAGGACTGGGGACCCCAAAGGAGCTTCCCGGACCTAAGTTCTTATTTAAAATTCCAGGGAAAGGGTTTCATCTGTGTTTTTTGTGAATTACATTCTTTAATTCTAAAAAAATTAATAATTTGGAAATAACATTCTGAACCTGCAACATCCTTTGGAGCAGGGACGTTTCTTAACACTGGCAGGCAGAGCTCAGAAACGGGTCCAGGAGGGTTGAGCAACCCCCCGTGAAAGTTCCTGACCTTACAAGACTAGGACAAAACAAAACTCACCCCATAAATGGACTAAATCATAAAGATAATTGACTCCACACGTTGCAGAGACAAATACAGATTTTTAAAAGTGGTTACAGGGAAATTAAATGGCAAGAGGTTGGGAATATTGCAGTGTTGGGAATCTGATACTGGTTTTCCTTGAGATGAAATCTGGCTGCAAAATTTCAGGCTTGGTCCCAGCAAAAAGGGTAGAGGGTGCAGATCAGTCAGAGCCTGAAAATTCAGAGTTTGGCACTGTCAGTGACTCTGAGAAGCCACTTTTCACATTAGAACACTGGTCCTGCTCCCAGGTAGT